CCACCTTGACTAGCACACTGCGCAGCCAGAGACACAACTGTCTGCGGCCAGATTCTGCAGCTGAACCTTCCCTTCAGCAAAACAGCAAGGAAAACAGCGTATCAGCAATATTGCACATCTTGCCTACATTCTGTCATCTTAGCAGGGCCTGCCACAGTTTCTCCTCAACCTGGAGCTTCACTCACTTTCCGCTGGCCAGAGGGAGGCAGAGGAGGCTGGGAGCATTGAGGAAGAACAGGAGGAAACTGCCAGGCTTGCAAGACAAGGAGAAGTAACACACATACCTATAGGATCATGCAATTGGAGACCGCCATAACAAATTAAAATCAGGGCAGTCATGAAGGATAGAAGGGTAACCTTATTTCTTGCAGCACTTAAGTTTGAGGGCCAGTTGTCTGAGCTCCTACTGTCACCTTCCTCAGGCAGGCTCTGTCCTGCCTCCTTGCTCCGATTTACTCTGTGCTCATCTTCACCTAACCCTGCTGCTCCCCCTTTGCATGCCTGAGCTCTGGCAGAGGTCCCCGCCTCGCACCCGCCACCCCTGTGCCCGGAGGAGTGTTACAGAGCACATGACACAACTGTCAGCTGTGTTAGCTGTGCTCACTTCATTTCTTTCAAAGGCTGAGAAATTGTCCCAAATTTGGGAACAATAACAGGCACACTCCTGACACCACAGCAACTCTGCTGCAAAATTCAGACCCTTTTTATCCGAAACAGCAGGCGGGTACCGTGGCTGCAGGACCATGGCTCTCTTTGTTTCAAACACAGCAAAACCAACACCCATCTCCCACTCAGCCATGGCTCCACAATTGTTGCTGGAACTTTTTTTTCTTTTTAATTCACCCTGAGGTAAAAATGCATCATGGAATGGAAAACTTCAGCTCAAACAAATTTAAAATGTGGGAAAATTACAAGCTAATGGGAACAGGATCTCAACTAGGGGGTGCTGGACAAGTCTAACCAAACACAGCACCGGCAGCTCCACCTCTAAAGCATATTTTGACCCGCTACGTAATTAGACACAACTCCACAAACAGGAATTATGTAAACCACCCTGCATATATTATTTTCAATAGCCCCAGCCATTGACTGGATACATCTTTCCACCCACATGGATCCAGTTACAGAATCAGCACCCAAACTCTCTGGGACAACCAGAAAAGAAAGAAATGGGTAAGCCAAGATCACTGCGAGCACACTCCAACTTAGCTTCATTCAGATGGGCATCACAAACTCGCTTAATTCTTAACAGACTGCTCTAAATGTCTTTATAAAATGTCTTTATCCCCTCAAGTCTGCACCCTTTATCCCACCCTTATTCTTCTACAGAGCAAAATCCGTTACCTGGTGCAAACAGCTCACTTCTTCAAAACAGCCTGCTTAGAGGAAAAAGTAACACTGTCATACAAAGATGTCTGTCCTGGTTTCGGCAGGGGTAGAGTTAATTTCCTTCCTAGTAGCTGGTACAGTGCTGTGTTTTGGATTTAGGATGGGAACAAAATTGATAAGGCACCGATGTTTTAGTTGTTGCTAGGTAGTGCTTACACTAGTCAAGGACTTTTCAGTTTCTCGTGCTCTACCAACTGAGAAGGCTGGAGGTGCACAAGAAGCTGGGAGGGGGCACAGCCAGGACAGCTGACCCAAACTGGCCAAATGGGATATTCCATACCATGGGACGTCATGCTCAGTATATAAAGCTGGGGGAAGAAGAAGGAAGGGGGGGGACGTTTGGAGTGATGGCGTTTGTCTTCCCAAGTAACCGTTACGCATGATGGAGCCCTGCTTTCCTGGGGATGGCTGAACACCTGCCTGCCAATGGGAAGTAGTGAATGAATTCCTTGTTTTGCTTTGCTTGCGTGCGCGGCTTTTGCTTTACCTATTAAACTGTCTTTATCTCAACACACGAGTTTTCTCACTTTTACTCTTCCAATTCTCTCCCCCATCCCACTGCGGGGGGGGAGTGAGCGAGCGGCTGCGTGGTGCTCAGTTGCCGGCTGAGGTTAAACCATGACAATGTCATAACTATATATTAAAAAAAACAGAGGAACTGGTCAAGCTGAGTAATGCAATGAGACTGAACTACTTCTCTTCCTGGAAGACTCATAAACCTGCCCATAAAGGCTATGAAACGGTGTTTTCAAAGATACCAACCCCTTGTATGGCTTGGATTATTTTTCCACGCCAGATGCACACTTAACAGAGTAATACAAACACTGCAGCTTCTTAATATGCTCTTTTAACACTGCGGCACTTTGTAAGCTATTTTCCTCAACATGTGACTAGTTATGTTTTTAGTAAGCCCATATGAAGAAGAATTCTTCAGTGGCAGTTCGTACAGTACAATGAAGAATTGAAGCATTAAGTATTATTGTTTGGCAGTATGGATAGTGACTACAACACGAAGCCCGAGGATATTTCACCTCCAGACCTGCCACCATCCTGCTGTGTGGAATAAAGTCTGTTCCTAGCAAACTCTCCTAGGGTTTGTGTTGTGAATAGTAAAATGGATGGTACAGTATACACAACTTCATAAAAAGCACAGAAATCCACCTACGTACTACAAAACATTTAGCTTTTCATCAGGTAAATATAGCTTTGTATCCCATCCACTTTTTGAAAGAGAAAAGCTGCACAAGTGCTTCCACAGAACAGGAACTCGTTAAAAGCAACTTCTTTGGACCACGTTGCACTTGGCTTGATGGAGCCGTAGAGGTTCTTCTCACTGAACACCACCATTCTGTTAGCAAAGACTCCTCTCATCAGTCTGCTGTAGTAGTTCCCTAACTTCTCATCATCTTTCTCCGATTATTCCATATACCTCTCAAGACAAAACCAAGAGAAATGCTCATTTTTTTTCAAAGTGTGTTTTCACAGCAGCTGGAATGGCCCCTCTTCAGTGCTTTACTATGCTATAATCCAAATTTAGGAGCCTGTAATAAAAAATATCCGTCAGAGATGCCAGTATAGTATACCGCTGGCCTACAAGTCTATTATTTTGGAAAATCCTAAGCTTTTTGCATTTTTCAAGGTAATTTTTACAATGTTGCTTACACTCAGTCCTAATCTGTTGCTTATAAATACCACACAGCAGTGTCTTACAACAGTGAATCCCATCATTTCAATCAAATCACAAAACAAGTGGCAAATGACAAAGTATACTTAAAAAAGTTATGTCTTCTGCACATTTACAGATTAGAAAAGAATATCTTTTGACCAAGAAAGAAGAAAAAAGCTCATATATCAGAGGAAAATAATCTAAACTTCAATCACATCTAAAGCTCCGTTAGCAGGTTTGTCGTATGATCCTTTTGAATTTCTTGTACACTCAGCAGCTAGATCTGATAGTAAACATCAAACCGGGAAGGCAGCTTTTGAAAATCCAGACTCAGCTGGTACAGCTCTTTTAAGTCAAGTTCAAAGTAAATGTTGAAGATGAGATAGTGTACTACACCTGAGTGTTTATGACATTCAATAGGAGAAATATGCAGCTCCACACTGCAGTGTACCCTGGATACTCCTTCCTAACTCTCATCTTCTCTGCTTTGCCTCCCCCCTCCGAAATTAACAGAGCAAAATTAATAGAGCTAAGTAACTCATGACAAGTTTAAAGCAACAGCAAGGGAGTTTTACTTTGATGTGCTAAAGTAAGCAATATATAACACACAAAAATCAAGGCAAAACCCACCCTGTCCTGCTGATCAACATTTTACTCTCACTAGAAACTCCAAAAAGCCCCACACTTTTTGCTCAAATGGACACAGTACAACTCCCTGGTGAGCTCTGCGCTTTCATCCACGAGCAAAACCTATTTCACCTCATTGGCATTCAAGTAATACTGCAAATTGTTACCCTGCAGGCCACTATCCATCTCCTTAAGAGCAGATAAACACTGGAAGTCTTTAAGAGATACGACACAAGATATTCTTCCTAAAATAACACTCTGTTCTGCTTTTGCTGCTGATGGTAAAACTTTCACGAGTGTCGCTGGCATAAGAGAATTTTTGGAGTGTACACCAAAAAAGTCAGAGCTTGTTTGCCATCACTTGATTTGTATCATAAGCAACTTACACTATGTGAGCTACAATAAGAAAATGTTACCTACAGACTTTTTCTGCTGGAAAACTAAATAAACAGAAGGTAAAAGTCACCTGTGCTGTGACACTGTAACATACTATTAATAAAGAACGATTTTCAGCAAATCTGCCCTATCACCACACACCGATGAAAGAAAAGCCATTCTAACAATTCTCCCAAAACCCTAAGAAATGCTCCAACAACGACCTATAAATTTTCCATATGATGATAGTCTATATTATGGGAGATTACCCACTTTCATGCCCCCTGAGTGAAGAATCAACTCTGAGACAGCCAAATTGCTGCCTTTCTCCGAGAAGCAAGCCAAAGCCTGAACCGGGAAAGGATGGGAGCGGCTGCATGGAAATGGAGGATGCTGAGCTTTAGCCATATGCCTTGCACAGCACTCTCCCTGCCCTGCAGCCAGCCCGAGGGCAGCAGTGGTAGGGGCTCATGTCCGAAGTCTTGGACACTGGAACTGGCACTGCTTGGAGCCGGAAGGGAGGGAAGAGTTGCAGCACCAGCCTGTGTGTCCCAGTGCCTTCTCCAGCCAGAGGAGACCTCCAGAAAGCAGCACATTAACAGAGCACAACCCTTTTCTGAAGACAGTATAAATTTAAGCTATGTTTAAAATTGGGACTGACTAGATCACTTCAGTAGAAATTAGGATAAAAGGAAAAGTCCTGGTAATTAAACACAAATCCTGTTCACAGGACAACAGATGACTTTCAAATGAGTAACCGGTATATCCCTTGCCAATGTTTCAACATTGGTATGACTGTATTTTGAGCCTACACTGAGGACAAGGGATCTAGTCCTGGATCTGGATGTCTTTATGTCCAAGTGCTGTAAAAAACAAGGAAAAATTACATATTCTACCGTAACCATCTGTCAGCTTTTATAGAAAAACTGAAGCATACTCTTACCTTCACAAATTCTGTCCAGTCGCTGCCGCTTGACTTTGTGTTTATCCACAAGTGCCATTCTTGACAGTATTTTGTAACTTTCTGATTCAAAAAGCAAAGCAGTCCCCCAGGAGCTTAGGAAAATTCACAGGAATCGGCGTGCATACCGCCACTGTCGATCCTGCAGAGAAACGAAAGGATTCATTAGGATTTCCAGCACATGAGGTGAGACCTGCCCGTCCCCAGCAGCAGAGCAGGTTTCTAGAAGGACAGCTGCGAGTTTAGTGCTTCCAACCCCAGCGTCCCACCGGTCACACATTTTATACTGCAAATCAAGCTTACAGCCCCTTTATCTTCCCTGTGAACAGAAAAAACAGCATTGTACACAAGAGCTGCCGAAGCGCTGTATGGCCTTCCCAGTTTTATTTCCGTCTTAAAAATCTATTTCTAGCAGATAAAATTCATTAAGCTATTTTGTAGGCTCACAGACACTGAAAGATTATTAGAGAGTATATAAAAAAGGGAAAGTAGCTTTTGCTCTTCCAGTACTTTCACACACATACACACACACAAACCACTTCCATGTCTTATTTAAGCCTTGCCCTGTAAAAGCCATCAGTGGACCTTGAATTTGCAACTAGACCTTGATACATATTCCAGCTGTCACTGTAGCCTGTCTTTACCTTCATACTTGAAGGGCTAACATTAAACTTTGGGTGCCAGAGCTGTCATTTCTAGCATGCACACTTTTAAGTGCCGATGAAATAAAGCAATCCTAAAGCGGTATGTGTGGCTGATTTATAAGAAATGCTCTACAAAAGGACAACAGCTGCAGGCTTTTCTGCATTTTGGCGACACAGAGGAAGACCCTAAATGGACCCTCTCAGGTCTGATGCTTTTGTTCCTACAGAGAGCCAAAGGTTCGTTTAATCCCTGAACACTCCGACCTGAGCTCAGGCTACAGACCCTGAACGTGCCATTGTGGCACTTTTACCCAACAGCTTCGTTGTAAAATCCAGGTATGAGCTTTTCAAAGCAAGTTCCACAACAGTATTCATGAATCCAGACATACAAAAAAGAGACCTCATGCTGACAACTGAATTCAAACAATTCAACACTACACGCACTAATTTTTTACTGAGTTATGCTATACTACCAGTGATTCAATATCCTCCTTTATATTTTAAGGTGAAGACAAATGACCCTGATACAAGCTACAAAACCTCCAGGGACGCATCCTGCGCAAGAGGCTTCTGCCCCCCCCAAGCCATCCACCACCCTTTTAAGCCTACTTAAAGGTGCCAAAAGAGCAGAATTAGTGGAAAGCTGTGATTTCCAGAAACAAAGCAAAACACCACCACATTTTTTGAGGTCTTGCAAGGAGAGAAGGGGAAGAGGGAGACAGGCACGAGCGTGAGCACAGCAAGAAATCCTCTCCTGAGTGGCCATCTGTATCACACTGCAAAGTCTCAACCACTCTGCATACAAAGTACTAGAAAGGGTTAAAAAATAAATATATTCTGAAGAGCCAGTAATAATCACAAACTCAGTACCACTTGGTCAAATTCACCCCCAAACAACAAAAACAGCTCCTCTGTGGCCGGTGAATTTTCACACTTCATTATCTGCAAACAAAATTTTCACGACAAACTAAAAAACCGATGGGTGCACATAATATAGGACACACGAGCAGAAGACATCGCGAACCAGGAAAATCCAGGCTGATGTCCAAAAGTTGACCTTGGGCGACATCTGTAACCTCAACTGCTGCTTCCCCTTCTGTAGAGCAGCGATAGCAACACTTAACCCATCCTCTCGAAACACTTCAGGTTCTTCATATTCACATAGTCCGGCCAGGCGTTTCTACCTTGCATTTTATTCCTCCGCAACAGCGTATGGCTCTCCTAAAAACACGCCTGTGAAGCAATAACTTCCCAGAAAACACAGTTAACAAACGCAATAGGCGAGGCTGAGCATGCGAGGGGTAAAGGCTCTAACAAAGCCGCTGCATACCGAGATGACAATTTCATGGAGATTATTGTTATTATTATAAATGCTTATCAATTATGCATCACATTGATAGTTAATTTATAAAAGGAAAAGGGTTGTGTTGGTACAACTGAATTCTGACTAAGGGAAGATAGGCGATTTCCTGGTAGTTAATGGCCAATTTCCCAGCAGCGCAACTGCAGCATAGTCTCTGAGATTTATAGCAATAATTAATTGATTTTTTTTAAACATAGGGATGCTAAAGAGCACGATTCCTACTCACATTAATAATTAATGCAACATTCTAAAAGAAGCCAAAAACTTCCATTCCAGAGGCAGAAGCTTGCTACAGTCAAAATATTTCTTACAACAAAAATTAAACTGTTAGCGTAGCTAAAGCCAGAGTAGCTAACAGCATTTCCATGATCAGCATTTAAAAGTATACACATGATTTTTTACCTCTATTACATCCCACTCCACTTTCAGGGAGAAGTACCAGGTTATAAAAAAGTCATGTCAGGAGAGAAAAAGTTAGCATTTTGTTCTGAAAATGCTCAAATGGTTCATTATGTTGGGACTGCAACTCTTTTCCCCTTTTTTTCCCAATCAAAATCAATATGCAAAGTGTATTTAATTTCGACAGAGTGCATTTTCTGATGGATGAATGCTTCCATTAAAGTTCTTTTCTCCTGCCATCTCAACTCCCTGCATTACTCCCTGGAGAAAAACTTTCTACAAAAGAAACTAATAACAATCAAAGAAATTACTGCTCATATTATCAGAATCCTGCACAGCTTAATGTAATGAACTCCTTCCTAATGATGTTAACTATTCCATCTTTGTTTGACAGGTGTCCATAATGATATCAACCAGCAATAAAAGCCCAACTCAGAAGACTTATTAAAAATGTGGCAGAAGCTGCCGAGCAGGATTTGGCAGGGATGGATAAAATGGAGAAAAGCAGATGCGCGGGGCACAGAAACAAGTGGATGCTCCCCAGCCTTCGTATGAAGCTGTAATTAAGAAAGCAGTTCTTCCATTTGTGGGATGGAGGACGCAATTAGTTGCGCACCCAACTTCAATCTATCCTCAATGATTTCTACATCCAACACAATCTCAAAACAATTGCAAGGCTAAATGTCCCCCACAATAAAATAAATACAATCAGGCTAGGCAGAACAAAAATCATGGTCAGCAATTAAAATACAAGAAAACCTCATTGTATAAGGAAATTTGAGAGAGAGAGGCGCACGCACGAAAATTTTACTTCATCTTCAGCAAGATTAGGAAACAAGTGAAGTGATTTGCATACAGTAATTGCATGGCCATGTTAGCCTCCAACAGTGTCTTTCAAAATGTAAATTTTCTTGAAAACCCTTGGACACGATGATAGCCCAGTAGTTATTTATTTAAAGAAGGAACATATTTAAATGCAATGTTTTAGGAAAAAAACAATCCTGACGTAACACATTTAAATAGCTTCTTAATACTGCCCGTTAAATACCACAATCCATGAGCCAGAAAATGAGAGCAGAGAAAGCTGTATTAGGGCTTATTTTTCCTGCTTTCAATGGAAAACAAAGCAAAGGTGATTTTCCAAAATAAAATGCACCGTTAGACAAAAAGAAGAGAAAGGTGACTTCACAAAGAATGTGTTGTCTTCTAAGCTCTCTCTCCGCTAGCACTGTTTTATCATCTTTTCACAGCACACATAGGTGTGCTGTGAAACACAGTGCCAGGAACAGGGGCACCATCTATTTTAGAGCATCCATGGCAGGCATCACCATCAAACCACAGCGGCACCCAGCAGGTGACTAAGAGCCACCGCTCTGTACAAAACCGTGTCTCACACATTCCCTCTCTGTGCACAGCCCTGGGAAAGTGGAATGGTGTTCCCTACCCCCCATTTTGTGACGAGCCGAAGCTGATGCAAGCACACAGCCCCACTGCAGCACCGCAGGCTTTGGTAAGCATCGTGCAACCGCCCCTGTGAGTCCTGCCCAAAATGCAGCTCATCGGCTAGGATGCAATAAAACTGAGATTGCTGCCTTTTGAGGTGTGAATGAACAAGTGGTACGAACGCACCACTTCTCCCAATGAATACACGGTCGTAGGTTAAGTGGGACTCCTCTTTAACTTCGAATACAAGCATCTTTCTAAACAAAAAAAGCATGCACACACTCCCAGACCCTTAGTGGAGTCAGAAACCTGTTGCTCACAATTTCCGACTACATTTTCTACCCTCTATGAAATATGGCATCAACAAAATGGAGATTCCCTACTACAGAAAACTCCTAGCTCCACAAACTGCAAAAGCTTCCATTTCCAAACAGCAAAGGAAAATTTTTGTCCTTCCTCACATCTAAACCGGGTTTCCACATGTACAACTCCTTACTTAAACAGGGGAAAATCCAGTCCAAATGTTTTGATCGATACCGTTGGACATTTCCTAGGCTCTCAGGAAAGGACAGGTTCCCGGAAAAGGTTTTATACTTGTGATTACTGCAGGACATCAGTCCTCTCAGCTGGAAGCAGACCAGGATAACCAAGCGGTTCATAATCGTGAAGTTAGTATCTGCCAATGCCAAGGGCAAGTCTCCCTGCAGCCTCCTTTGTGTTAAGGTCCAGTTTTCCAAAACTTGGTCGCACTTGAATTGAGATTTCAATGCAAGAACATCCCTCAGAGCTGTGAACTGTTTAAGCTTTGCGTTAGCATCACCGTGTGTTAACTATTCTGAACTAGCTGGCCATTTCCATGGCTGACCATTTCAGACGTCAGCAGCTGCCGTGGGGAGGGCAGGAGGGGCTGAGAAGCGGAGTTCAGCGCAAGAAAGGAAATGCGGAGAAAAGAAAGGAGGAGACACACAGAGATAATGACAGGGGAGGGAAGCGGACAAAGGAGACAGCACAATGCAGAAGGAACACTTTGCGAACACTGTGTCATCCTTCCTCCCTACACTGGCGGCACATCCTTAAGTGGGATGCCCAGCTCAGCCCCCATCATCTTCTCCTCTCTCTAAAGCCCTGGCATGACCGCAGGGGAGGAGGGAAGCGCATGGAAGGGAAGGGACAGACAACACGATCCTTCTTGAGATCCCTTTTTTGGATGTTTTCTTTTAAACAACAATAAAACAACATGGGGAACTCGCAGTGTCAAGACACCATTAAGTCCGATAGCCCAGCAGGAACCAAAAATGGATTAAACATTTATATGGGTAGTGAGAACATAGATGTTCATTAGCCAAAAAAAAAAAAAAAAGGGTGGTGTCGTTTTTTTTTTAAATGCCTGAGGGATGTAAACCCTCACACTTGGGAAGAGGAATCACAGAGTTTCTGTGTGGCCAATGTTTGGACTTCTCCTGCTCCATTAAATGCTCTCAGCCATTGCATGGGAAATAGCATGCTGGGGAACAAAAAAAATGATTTTTCCTAATTTCTGGAAGAACTACCTTGGCTGTTAATCAAACCTCAGTGCCAGGCTCCCAACAGCCTGCAACCCTACCATGGACCCTCAGCACCCTCAAGACAGTGAGGACAGGACTCTTGCTACAAAACCGTTGTTAATTAGGTTTAATGCTTTTACTAGTTATTAGTATGACTTCACTGCCGCAGAGCATTCAGCGGTGTTTTGCATTAAGACCTCTCCATGGGAAGGACTGGACGACGGCGCAGGTGGCAATAAGCGCTTTTTGTCTAGGTGACTCACTTGTTTTCTGCCCAGAAACTTAACAACCTAAGTCCTGCCCCTCCACTGCCTACCTGGTGCCTTCCCCTGAAAACTGCTGGGGAAAGTGAACTCACTGGGTGCTGCAGCCTGGCAGAGAAAGCAGTAATGCAGCAGGTTAAATGTGCTTCACGGAGAGCCAGTACTCCCACGTTAGCACCTGCTGATGGCAAATAAAGAGCTCTTCTATTCTTCACTCTACAGAAATGGAGAGTAACATGCTGTAGGAGTCTTGTGCTGAAGAACTGGTAACAATTTTGAGGAACTTGCTATTATATGAGTGAACAAAATGTACCATAACAGCATATGAGCCTGCACATCTGTTGCTAAATTAAACACGCTACATAATGATGCAGACCACATCTTAAAACATTATGCAACAAGACACAGACTGTGCTAAAATAATAAGGCTTCAAAGATGACATAGAGGGCCTGATCCTGCATTCCTTTCAGTCCTTGAAAGTCACTGTGAGTATCCCTCATCAATTCTACTCCATCAAAGCTACTTGTTGACTCGGTAAAAGAAGAATCACAATTTTATATATATATATGCCCTTCAAAGGAAAAAAAGACATATGGGTTTGTAGTATTTTCCTTCCTCTCTATGCATAAAGCATGAGAGAGGTTTTTGTTTGGATCTGTATTTTTTTTTAAAGTTTCTTTAAGAATCGCATTTCAGGTTACAAACTGTGCTCCAGACCGGGTTCTCGGTAGCCAGAAAGATGTTATGAAGACCTACCGAAATGACAATATTCAAGTTGCCACAATAGCCATGGTACAAAAGAGAGGGGAGTGAGATACCTATTTTATTTTTCAACTTTTCTTTTCCAATTTTACTTTCCAACATTAGTCACTAGTTCTCGGCTTTGAGAAAAGAAGATCCGGGCATGGTCCCTTGTCAGGTAGTAACAGCCCTCCACAGACCCTCTGTGAGTTTTCAAGTAAAACTAGGAAATACCAGAACTGGCACTCCTTTCATTCCTAAAGCTAAAATACAAACAAGCAACCCAAACAGACAGCAAGAAAATTGCTTTAAAGAAAATAACTGTCATCTCTCTTTCTGGCATCAGAAGTGAAGCCAGTTGATGCTCTGCTTACCCTGCACCGACAGCCTTCAGGGGCCTGGTGGTGGGCAAAACAATAACCAGGAGCTGAACCCAAATTATCCACTTAGCTTTGAGAGTGCCTAATCCATCTGCTAATTAATCATGGGCCTCCTTCAGCCTCTCTTATCTTGTTTTTCTAAGTATCTGACACTGATAACGTGCACGCTGATATTGCTACAGCACGTAACTGGCTGGGAAACTACCCTTAACTTTTCAAATAAAACAAGAGGAAATGATATATAAATAATCTTACAGTCTCCAAAGGTCCCTGCCATACTGAAAAATAAAATCTCATTCTACATTTTGCCAGAGTTCTTTACATTACTTGTTACTAATTTTCACTAATCGCAAAGACTAATGCTGGAGCGAGGTGAACCTTGGCTGTTTGCACATCTGGATAACAAAAGCTCTCCTCTACTTAGGCTGTTATTTGCTCCTGTACCAAAATCAGCACAACCAAATTAGAAACCCCGAGAAAAATGACTATTTGCTGGTTTGTCGGATGAGCTATGCAGTTACTTGGCCATTAGAGGGCATTTTATACTGCAGAGTGAAGTGCCAGCACGCAGCTTGCGAACAGCATCACTAATGCCCATATGGAGCTGCTGGAGAACAGTTTCTGACTACTCTTATTTAGTAATTGCCACTTTTCAACATTTCCATACGCTGTATATAGGTGAGCAAGCAAGAGCAAGGACAAGAGGAAAATAAGATGAAATAGCTATGAAAAAAAGTCCTGGTTAAATAAACACTTTGGTGCGCAGCTATTGTTGCTTCCAAGGTTTGCTTTTGTTCAGTTCACTTCTTCCCTGCCACTAACTCCAACACAGCAACCTTCATCCTTTTTACTCTCACAAACAGCAGTTTATGTTTTAAGTTTTGAAAACGATTAACCGAGAAAAACTGTAAATTGTGCCACGGCACCACTACCTGTCTCCGGAGCTAGACGGGAGAGCTCATCTGTCTCCGGAGCTGGACAAAGGCAAATCCAGCTTCCTCACTGCCAAGAGGTAGGACATGGCCACTTACCTTCAGATGTCTCCTTCTAGTTACTACTATACTGCTAAACGTGAACTTTAAACCGTTTTCAGCTTCTGCTGGCTAGGAAACCACAAAAAGCCACCCACTTCCCTGCTTCGGTGGTTTTCCTCTCTCCATCTAAATACAAATCAAATTAGGAAAGAGACAGATATCTCGCTATACATCTCCAAATATACGTATGTTTGTAATCAGGGTGGCCAAACTTCCTGAGTACGAGCTGCATACCAAAATCTTCATGTGGTTGGGAGCCACATCCTCCCAACCTCCGTGTCCCCCGCCCGCCACACATGCACCCCGCGCCCCCCTGTAAAGCCTCGCGTTTCTCCCGTCCCCCTGACTCTGTGCTGCCGATCTGCCAAGCCCACTTCCCTCGCTGGTCTCCGACCAAAAGTACAGGGCTGGCAGAGGCAGTGGCCACATTTTGCAGCGCACTACAGCAGCACCCAGCGCTCCTGCCTTGCAGGATTTGATTAAACATCTGTACGTAATATATACTGCCACAATACTCACAACTTACTCCTGAATTCCTCCTTAACAGAAAGTTCAAAACAGCAAGCGCAGCAATAGCAAGACTACCAAAAGGACCCTGGATATCAACGCTTTCCTTCAGGTGCCCATGCTAGAAGACCAATGCTAAAACCAAGACCACCTGTCTTTGTAACTCTTGCAAGTCCTTGGCTCTGTATCACTCCTAAATAAAAGAAATAATAAAAGAAGCAACTAGATGACTGCATCCTCACAAGCAAACACATGGTATACTCAGGGAGTACAGTGCTTCCTTATTCTGCGCCATCTCTGCCTGGCAGTCTGTCTGCGAAGGCACCCCACTCCTGCAGCAGCTCCCACCTCGTATCCTGAGTTGTAAGCAGGTGCTGCTGCATCAGTGGGTTGACGTAAGACGAGAACATGATGGCACCCTCATCCCTGCCAGTACAGCCCACCTACAGACCTACAGGACGTACAACTGAAGTGGCTCCAAGTCTGGAATACTGACCTTCACTTGTAATTTCTTAATTCTTCCATAATCAGGATCAGACAATTAAATCTTACATGAAGACCCGCGTGGCTCTTCACAGCAGCGACACAGGACTTTCTCCTTGGGCCCTGCCCCACAGTGACCAAACACTACTGCAGGACAATGGCTATGTATCGTGGAAGGTACCTTGGTGGCCTCAGCCCAGTTCCTTAGGGGACGCATGCCCACATCCCAGGGCACAGCGGTGCACACCAGCCCACACCTTCATGCCTCAGTTGAGGGCCAGAGGAGGAACCGTAAGCACTGCCTGGCAGGAGACTCCACCATTCACTCAGGATGGACCTAGCTCACCTGAAGAGCAGAGGTGAAGCCCCTCATGCCCCAGCTGCACCATGGTCCAATGGATCAGGAGACTCAGCCCCCCACTAGCACACCAAACTCCCCCATATGGCACAAACTCCCTGTGTTTCTCGTTATATCACAGATATCTCAAGCTTTTTTTCTGTCAGATCTCGCAGAGCCTGTCCTGGGAGCTCTGCCTGGACTGGGAACAGTGAAAGGAGCAGTGACACTCTTCTACCTCCAGGAAATCTTTGGAGTTATAATTTGCCCTTATCTTAGTGCTTATATTTACAAGCCACTCTTACATAAAAAGTCCTCATCTGCATTGACTTACTTAGCAACATGAAATAAAATAGCCTGAAGCTATTCATGTTGCTTAACGTACTTTTTTTTTATGTAGATGATGCTCTGTGTAAAGGAATATTCAAAGGGGAAAACTGTGTTTTGTTTGTAACACTTATTACTATCACCGAAGAAAATATGTTCTAACAAGTCTCCGAAGGGGGAAACACATGTAATACCTTTAACAGCTCAGCTAATTCATCTTTTGCTGCCCGACTGCTGGCGAAATCTCAAATGGAAAGTCTCAAAATGGAAATGTGGAAAACCCTGTTTCTTGTAGTCCAAGATCTGTTCCCACTATACAACCTCTTTCCATCGGAGTGAGTCCTGTTTGTTTTCAGCACATAGCAGCTTTACTCTACAAAAAAAAAGAGTTCAAGAGTTCAAGGCTACGTCTCCATTCAGGCGTACACCCACAATGCAAACCAGCCTCTCCGTCCTGTGCTGAAGGCATTCCTCTCCCCACCACCTACCTACAAAAGAGCCTTGTCTGAGGGAAATGAGAAATGAAGGAAGGAGCAGGATGCTAAGAACCGTGGAGAGAAGGAGAGTCCAGATGGGTGTTGGGGCATCAAGGACCAAGGAGAGCTTGGATCAAGAAACGGGTCAGGGATGAGGATAGAGGGTGGCTTTTGGAGTAAGCAAGGGTCTGGGGAGCCCTGACAGACCATCCTGCCCTTGGGGCTCCCCTCATGCAAAACTCATGCTCCAGACAACACCAAGCCCCATGGAGTCAGGCGTAAGTGCAGTCAGGATGGAAATGTGTGAGTGGTCCCATGAAATCCCACAGGAAAGAGCTCAGAGGGACGCGGGGCAGCTCTGGGACGGCTCACCTGAGAAACACTGCCTCCTCCCCGCTCCTCCCATCCCTTCATCCCTGTCTCTCCCTCTGCATCTCGCCTTTGCTGCTCTTCCAGCATCGCTTATGCGGTTTAATTTCCAGAGGAGTGAAAGGAGAGGGAAGGAGGGAGCCAAGTGAGCGGAGAGAGATTTAGGTAACAGTAATAAATAAGATGAAATAATTCTCCCGCCACTAACCTTTAGCGGTAAGTCAGAGTATCCTCTGCAACCACCACAGGTTTGCATAATCTACACATCTTTCTTATAAGCCTTGCCAGCTTGCTGCAGCAAGGCTATTTTGGGATTTAACAACACTCAGGTTATTGACCTAAATTTATACAGGCTCATCTGGAGCCATAACGGTCCATTGTGTGCTGAGGCCTGCTCGGGACGCCTTAATACACAGATTATTGATGCAATGAACTGTGACGGCTCCTATAGAGCTGTTATGGTTTATTGTAGCAACACCTACTCGGGGTCCCTTTAATGCGCAGATCGGTGACACAATAGACAGAAACGGCCACTACTTGGGGATGCATTATCCCACGGATCACTGACATGACGGACCGCAATGGCTCCAGCCTCCTGCCTTAATGTAGCAAGCAGGCAAACACGCTGAAACCCCAGGTTCCCAAATCCTGGGGAGCTGCGGGTGGATGGCTGAGAGGTGAGGGGCCCGGCAGTGCAGGGAAGCTGCCCCCCTACCCACCCAAACCGTCCGGCTCCGAGAGGTGACATTTGCAGAAAGCAGTTTGCTACTGAAAATAAGGATTTATAATGAAAGCCCTGGCGGGACCAAAGTTTTAGCAAGAACAGCCACAGGCCTGCATTATAGATCAAGGCTAAAATCCTGTATGAGAAATACATGGAAATTAGCCAGAAAAAATCAGGGTTCAATTTTCAGCATAGAAAAAGGAAAGGAAAACATTTCATGTTCCAAAAGAACACGAAGAAAGCAAGCGCAAAAGTGCACAAATATCTACATTTCTCCCTTCTTTTCCTCTTGAAGAACAAAAATAATCTTAAGAGGCTGAAAGCTAAGCACAGTTTAAAGAAAGTCCCTTGTGTAGGGAGACCTCAGGCTGAGAAAAGGAAAATTAAAACATTAACACTAACCAAGTATTCGCAGCCTCCTCACAAACAGCAGCAAACAGTACAAAAAGCTGCAGCTGGCTTTCCACTATCGCGTGCATCTTCCCCACTATTTACCAGGAGCTTTTTTTAACATTGGTGACACTTCACATTCAAAACTGCAGTTAAAAATAACTGTTGGTCCTCCCATTTTAACCCTGCAAATTCCCTCTCCTCCTGTCCACCTCCCCACATGCCTGCTGGTCTCTGTCCCGCTCCTCCTGCCCCGCCATCAGCTGTGGGGTGATGGAGGGCTGAGGGGGGCGGCTGCCTGGCCACAAGCCTGGAGTCCCCACTGGTGCCCCAGGACCTCACCCGACCCTGGGAGCATCCCTCTCTCATTTCTTCCCAAAGCTGGTAGCAGGCTTTATTTGCAAGAATAAAGGCAATGGGTCTGTTCCGTATCTTGATTTCCCTTCCCACCTACTTTTGCAGATGACATGAGTCTAATGCTTTAAAAAAACGCACCCAATACGAATGTTTTCTCTATGGCCTTAAACCCGGCAATCAGCAGCTCAACTGGGAGTGTAGAGAAAGAAATTCCTGTGTTATCCTGTAGCTACTTAAATGCTGAACCTTCAAAACCTCCTCGGGAAATAGGCCTGGTGCATGGCTGCCACTACTACAAGGAGCCCTGTACAAGAGAGACTCGAAAATCAATATCCTTCACCCAACTTATCAAATTTACCGAGGACATTTATACAGTATAATTAAATAGAAAAGAGATACAAATACAGAAGAGTATTTGCACGGCACTGCATAGCAATTGCATTATCTCTGGAACAGAGGGCACTTTGACAAAAAGGAGGGAAAACACCATATATCAACCAAAGAAGCCACAAGGAGCATGGGGAAGGTCTCTGCTCTCAATGCTCACAGGGAATGTTTAACACTTAAGTAAAGACAGACGCAGAATATACATCAGCATGTATACCTAAGGCATTTCTGCAGGTCCTGTTCAGTCAGCCAAAACGATGCCATCAGAATTACGCCGGTGATGAATATGGTCCAAAACACTCAGTCGCCTCTCAGACTTGTGTAGGGTCTCCCAACACATGTTGGGGCACTTACCCTTCGCTGGTGTGGAAGCAAAGCAGACACTATTATGTTGCTTTTCAGCATATGAATGTACCAAGTAAAATTGATTTTGCCCAGTAATCCACTTGGTAAGTCAGTGATGTTTTCCACAACCAGCAGCCGTCTCTGCAGACTCACAAGATAAAATCTTCTATGCAAGGTTAAACCCGGGAAAGGCTGACTGCCAGCGCAGGGCAAACTAAAACACCGCGGAAAAGGCAAACTAGATTATCTGGCTATTTGTTAAACAATTCTTCTCACAAGGGTTGTGTTACAAGTGTGCTTTGTGAATGCTCCTTGCTTTCAGGTAGAGCCAAAGAAGCTGGCTCCTTGCTGAAAGTCCCTACAAGCAGCACACTGTTGTAGATGCGACATCTCTCTTGCCATGTTGATCTCAAAATTCAGAATAGCTCAGCACGGTGCTGGACACACGCTCAGTTCTGGGTGCTGGTGAGTGAAAGCCAGACATGTTTGCAAAAGGCGCCCAACTACAGGCTTTCTTCCACTTCATACTCATGGGGAAGAGTGAGCATCAGGTTAAAGGCTTCTTTGTTGCCTCTCTCGTGTCTTGATTCGTTAATGTGAATCACAACTCCACTCTATTTTGAGCAGTCCTTTATTAAAAATGCCTGTGAGTAATTTTCTCTAAACTTGAAACTATAAAAATGGTAATGTTCGGGTAATACTCAGGAATTTTTTAGATTTTGCATACTTCTCTTTTTAATTGAACAGGAAAAGGAGGGTAACCTGACCCACAGAAAGAGCTTTTTTTCCCGTATTTGTCCTGCACAGACCCACTGCTCTGGATAGAAAACACAACTCATGGAGTATGGAAGAGTGACTCTCCAACCTGAATGCCACTAACCCAGGAACACAAGCTGTGCACCACACAGCGCAGCAAATCAACTAGCCCTCAAGCACCACAGCTGCACTTTTTCCATCCCAGACATGGATACACCTCGCCCTGTTGATGCCACCAGATGAGACACTACTACTGCAATGCCAACTTTGGAAAAAGGCTCTTCACCAACATGCCAAGGTCTCAAATGAATTCACGGCATGCACACCAGCCTGCCTCCACATTTCTCTCCTCCATTACCTCACTCCAGAGCTTGTTCCCATGGTCTCCATGCAGGACTGGCAGAAGAAAGCAGGCACTGGCCAGAAGAGCCAGCAGAGAAACTTCAGCTGTCTCCTGGATGAACTAGGCAGTAATCTCTGAACTAGAGAATAATCTCTGATATTCTTAGACACACAAGTCATGCTCAGACTTGCATGTCCGTTGGCCCAAAGCAAATTAAAAGACGGCAGGAATGAGGAAGCTTTATTGCTCATTCCCACCACATTTACTTCCCAAACTGCTTCAGTTCCTTCACAGATCCCACCCAGCACCATCCGCAGCAGCAGATCTAGAGATGCAGCAGGGAAGACCACATGGCAAAAACGCAACAGCCAGGTGATATCCTGGTGATATCTGCTCAAGCAGAGCAGCCTGGGATGGAGCTGAGATCATTTTGACACCGTTGAGCAGGACCAAGACCCATGGGGCAGCAGAGGAGGAGGCACCAGCAGGTGCCAGGATGGCTCCAGCTACGCAGGGAGTGCTGAAGGGAAACCACACTGGTGGTTTCCTCAGCTCCAACCTCAGCTCCGGCACTGCCACCCTTTTACTGTTTGAGCTTGGAGGTGACCCCAAGACCCCTTTCATTCTGCTCAACCACCACAAACAGGGATAATAAGGGCGATGGACTTACTGCTCCAGCTGTGGGGTTGCAAGTCCAACCTGTGTGAGGACTGCTAGGGAAAATATTATAAAGGGAAACTCATTTCCCCCGGGCTGCCTGATAGAGCCCATCAGAGGAAACATCTGCCATCCTTCGCAGAGGACAAAAATGAGGAGGAAGTGGTTGGTCCATCCAGAGAAAAGAAAGTCACATACATTAAAGGCATGTGGATCCTGACCAAAGCAGGAGACCCACTTCTGCAGGCGGGTCTCAGCAAAACAGTTTAAAAAAGCAGTTTTATAGACTGCCGAGTATGAAAACGGCAGCAGCCCACTTGATGAGGTCAGGGACTGAAGTGGCCTACGGTACTTGTAAGAGAAAACATCTTATTGGTTAGGCCACCACTCCTCGAAAGAGAACCACACATGGCTTAACTTAGCAGTGTTCACGAAACAACGAAAGCCCCGCGGCAGCCGTCCCACTGGCTGCCCACCTTCAAGGCCCCTCGGTGCACCCAGGAACCCCCCAAGCGATCCTCAGGAGAGGGCTGAGGGTGGCCTTCCCCTCACAGGGCCACCACAGGCAGTCCCCCAGGGAGCCTCCCGCCGGCTCCCTCCCTCCTCACAGGCCACCACCCCGCACGCTTCAGGGGGCGGAAAAAAATCCTTCGTGCCGCCTCAGGAACAAGCCGCTAAAATAAATCCGTCAACATAAAGGCGAAAAAACAAGAAGTTTCTTCTGAAAAACAGGAAGCGTTAGGTACATAACAGCTTAAAATAGCGCCTGCTTGATTTGTTGACAAAATGTGGGTCCCAAGGGGTTGTGCCTTTTTTTTTTTTTTTTTTTTTTTTTTGTG